GCGGGCGGGCGTGGGCGTGTTCGGAGGGCGGGCGTGGGCGGCCCGGGTTGCGGGAGGTCGGGGCGGAGACGCGCGCGGGGGCGCCTGGGCCCGCAGCTCGGCCGGGTCGCGCGCACTCGCTGACCCACTTTCGGCGGTTCGCGTCGCGCTCGCTCAGCCAGCACGGCACAGGGCGCCGGGATTTCCTCGCACAGATCAGGTTGCACTGCACGGAGAGCTTTAGAGATATCTTTCATACGACGCAAACATTTCAGAGCAACTACAACACTCCCTTCAAGATGCCAAAAAATTCGTTTGGCAACAAAACAAAAGTCATTCCAATATCATGAAAACACTCTGGAGGGGGCGGGTCCACAGCACACTCCCAAATGCATCGCAAAATAGTAAAGAAAAAATTAAGTTAAGAGCATATGTAAGGATATAGCAACATATTATAATTTTTGCAATTTTGTGCTCAAATTTGTATGAGATGTGTATTTTGAATATTTTCTGTACTTGCGATCCTTTGCGTGGACATATAAAAGCCCACGTCCGTTTTTTGAAATAACTTATTCATCCTTCACTGCGTTGTTGCGAATGCAAAACTGTTATTTACATTGCAGGTCGGGCTGTATGAGAAAGCTGAGAGTTTCGACGAAGCGATTACACATGAAGGGCAGCTCAAGGCCTCGCGAACTTTCTTGTTGCGTCTGCTTTGGTTAGTCTCAGGTAAAGTGTCATTTGGGAGTATATCAGAATCTGCCTAATACGGTCGTCTTTTCATATATCGATCAGCCATATCGCTGATCATATCCATTCACTAGAATTTCTGTCTCCATCACTGCAACCCCATGCGAGCACTTACGCAGGACGTCAACCCACAATTGAAACCCACTAAATCAGGAAAGAGTGTTTTCAAACTTTTTTACATTTATAAAATGAATATCTTAGATGGGAGAAAAGTTAAAATACCGGTTATATATTAACACATACTTGAGTATATATAATATTTTTTTTAAGAAACAGAAACATGGTCCAGTAGCGGATTTGACCCGTACGTTTTCAATGTTCTGTGACAGTTAAAAAAGGAAATAGTTGAAAATGTAATACCCCCAAACACAAGGGATTCAACGTTTTCACTAATCTAAAGAATAAGATTGAAGAATAAAGTTAGCATAAAAATAAACTGAAGGCTGAAAATGAAAACACTGAATATAACACAATTCAAACTTAATACACTGAATGGAACTTAAAAGCGTAGAATGTAGAATGAAGAGTGAAGAATAAAGTTAGCATAAAAATACACTGAAGACTGAAAATGAAAAAAAAAATTAAATATAACACAATTGAAATGTACTGCAGTGAATGCAACTTAAAAACACAAAGGGGATGCGGAGGCGCTCACCCAGCAGGTCGAAGGGCGCCGGCACTTCCTCGCACATGAGCGAGCGGTTCAGGTTGGACTTGCGCTTGGAGCTCTTGTCTTTCTCGCGGCGCGCGGCGCTGGCGGCGGCGGTCGACGACGACGGCGACGACGACGACGCGGGCTCCTGCGGCAGGGGGCTCCTCTGCAACACAGCGCCACGCACCTGCTAGCCACACAACTACACTTCGGCACCCAACAGAGCGAAAATGCACTGGAAGCGACATGTACTTGTCAACCCCCGGTGCAAGATGATTCGGATACTAAGCAGGGGGAAATGTCACAAGAATTCTATATATGAAATGTTTCACCACATATTTTGCCACCCCCTCCCTCCCACAGCATGGCCTAGAGGTTTGTAACATATATTCTCTCTCTCTACCACTCTCGCTCTCTCTACCACTCTCGCTCTCTCTACCACTCTCGCTCTCTCTACCACTCTCGCTCTCTCTACCATTCTCGCTCTCTCTACCTCTCTCTATATTTATATCTCTCCATTTATCTCTCTCTCTCTCTCTCTCTCTCAGCTGTTCACAACACTTAAACGATTAAAAATATTTTCTAAAATCTTGGACAGGATTCGCTGGGTTTCAGGTCTCGAACGTCTCGTTCGTAATTGTTTGTAATCTCCCAGATTCATCCAGCTAGCGGAGAGCCATTGTTTGATCTTCGCCGTAACCTTTCCCCCGCGGCTGCTCTTTGGCGGCTATTCTCGCGCAGCGGTTGGCCTTTGGAAAAGTCAGCGCGGGGCAGGTGGGGCGCGTTCGCCACACGCGCGGAGGCGACGAACCGACCGAGTGGGTTCCCTGGAACGCGAGTAGGAGGCGCGAGGCGGGGCACGACGGGGCGCGGCAAACCGTGTCAGGAGGCGGGGCGCGAGGCGGGGCGCGAGGCGGGGCGCGAGGCGGGGCGCGAGGCG